TACTACCACAATTTGGGGTTCTATAACCGTATTTCTAATTATGCATACCCGTATATATATATTTTTAGGAATTTTATATACACATGTATATAGATATGTGTATGTAATTAGTAATTAAATGCAACGTAATATGTTTCTGTGCCTGTTGATTTGTACCCCAAAAAGGAGGGTCTATATGTATTCCACGTCCTTAATGGTCTTTTATAATAACAAACACCACATACAAGTACATATAGGTGTACTCAGATAAACAAGCTTTTGTTTTATGTTGATTAACCTATATAATGTCTGACGAAGCCCTTCTTCAATTTTTCGCTTCAACTATTATCTTATCAATGCATGAACATGCTTCAAAAAAATGCGACGTTTAACGGTGTCACGGAGTGCTCAAATATAATCATTTTGCAAAATTACAAAACATAACACTGAAATAATGGATATTCTTTAAAGGGTTTTCGAATACTTATTATATTACTATATGTAGTAACGGGTGTTTTTTTTAACCATTTGGTTTTCAACGAGGCAATATTTTTTTCAGAGTTGATCGCTTTGACAGCTATTGTTTGATTTACACAGTTTTTTTGTCATTTCATAATGAACAAACTAACAAAATACCCAAAATAATGGTGCGGTTCGCGCGATGCATCACGCACTGCGTTTAATATTTGGTTGACATAATCAGCCAGTATATTCAATAATTCGAGTAACCATGGATTGCCTTCGCCCCACATTTACTCTGATGGTAATGCGGATACTCAGAAACGTCGTACAGGACGTACCGAAGATGATATTGCTGCTGTGGAGCAGAGTATCGAAGAAGATCCGAATAGGTCCATCCGACATCGCGCGCCACAATTGGAGCTGTGTGCATCCACATTATGGACGATTTTTTGAAAGGATTTTGCATAGCTTACAAAATTCAACTCGTGCAAGAATTGAAGCCAGACGACCATCAACCACGTCGCACGTTGCGTGAATGGGCCAAAAACGAGATGGCCACCGATCCCGATTTTTGCAAGAAAATTTTGTTAAGCGATAAAAGTCACTTTTGGTTGAATGAGTATTTTAATAAACAAAAATGTCGCATTTGAAGTGTTGATAATCCACAAGCCCTTGTTGAGATGCCGTTACATCCTCAAAAAGTCACTGTTTGGTGTGCCCTATGGCCAGAGGAAATCATGAGTCCATATTTCTTCAAAAATATTTAATTTGAAGCTGCCCATATTTTCGTGCCTGAATTGGAATTTGTTGATGCGAACGACCTTTGGTTCAAAAAAGACGACGCTACATACATGCCATACAGCCAAAGAACAAGAAGATTGTGCGATTTAGCACCGCTGAACTATTTTTTGAAGGATATATGAGGTTGATTGTCTACGCAGATAAGCCCGTGACGATTGGCACCGTGGAAGAGAATATTGAGCTACATACGACCCCTATTGCTGTACAAAGTGGTCGAAAATTGAACCGATTATTATTCGAGTCAGCCGCGACGGATCTAAAAACATTTTTAAAACATGATGGCAAACCCTTATCTTTATAATAATGCGGAATACTTGGCCATAACATTAAACTATATAACTTTTACAAATCTACTTCATGGGCAACATGAAAGAACAGCTTGATCGACCTCAAGAGATCAATGCAGCAATGAAAAGAGGAATTCTTCAAGATTTGCAGTAACTACTTAATGAACATCATGTATTGATCATGGTGTTCAAGAGTGCTTTGAAGCACATGCCAAATGATGATTACAAAGTCGTGATCAGAGCAGATAGACGACCATCTGGAACTCACGAACTCACATTTACGCTCCAAAAATAGATGAAGTTGCCATCCTGATTGTGAACAATTGCAAACACGCGATATTGTGCTTACACGTCACGATACTGGGCAGCTGCAACAAATATCGGAAACACATCGTTCGTATGACACGTTGCAAAACCCGCTGATGTTTTGGCAAGGTCAAGATGGATATTAATTTAATACCAAAATGATAAACGGATTGAATGGTACGTATCAATATCTTAGTTCAACATAACCTACATTTTATATTGTTTGGTTTGGACTAAGAATAATAGAAAAATTCAACTGCTTATTACCAGAAGATGATTAAAGGTTGTTTATATAGACAAAGGACTGGTAACCGATTTTAAATCATTATCTTCTAGTGGAAAGAATTCAACCAGACCAAATAGATGTTATCATATGTGCCGAGTTTCCCGATCACGAAGCCGACCCAGACCTACATGATGTTATTATTACAAATACAATTTATGGACAATACTCAAAGGAAATTTCGAAGCTAAGAAAGTTTTGATTCCGAAAATGCTGATGATCCCAACCGATATGCCATTTGAGTTTAAAATACTTCAATTTCCGATGCTTTTTCATTCGCATTTTGATCGTCATGACCATTAACAAATCAGAAAGTAAATACTTGAAATTTTGTGGTTTGAATCTGGAATATGCATGTTTTTCGCGTGGTCAATTATATGTATCATGTTCACGGATCGGAAGACCATCTGCGTTGTTTGTTTATGCGCCTGATAATAAAACAAAAAATATCGTGTATTTGTTTGCTCTAAACGGAACAGAGTTCGCCGGGTCTTCTAGTAGTCCAATTTCATCCGAGTGTGTTTCCTCCCAGGCCTGCAGTTCTCGAACATGACATGAACGAATCGTTCTCATTACTATGATAGTTCCATGATATGAAATAAGATAAACTCAACGCATCTGCAAAAAATTTTGCAAAAAACGATTTCGCTGATGTATCTGATAAGATTTGCAATGAAGCTATTCACTTTAGATACGATCAAAAATGTTCATCGATCATGCTCGCAACAGGGCAAGATTTCAGGACTAGCTACACTGTGCCTATAGGTTGGATTTCCATACTATTACGCTACTGTCAAAGCTCGAAAAGCTCACTTCAAAGTTCCTATTCAACATCAACAAGAAAGCAAATTTAATACAGATGTGATGAGAGCATAAAAAATACTTCGTACTTAACTTATTATTCAAAAACATTGGAGTAGTAAGTGGGAAGATAGTTAAAAAAAATGTTAAAGTATTAGAAACATTTCTGTAGGGAGAAGGCCCTCACCTTTTTACCACTGTGTTTTTCTCTCGGCGGCCCATATTGACGATGATGTAGCTTGGAAGATATCAAATTACTTCGAAATGAGGGAAGTGTCACGTGATTAATCAATTATATTAACTGATCTAAACATAAAACTACATTATCATTTGTTTACTATTGGTTGACATAAATCTTGAGGGTTATAATATAAGTGAAACGGATGAATGGACGAACAGACGATCGAAATTCAATTCATCATGTCATCCCCATACGATCTACGAGATCATCGGAAGTGTTTGGACCACCTCGGTCGCACTCCGCTCGCCAGTGAATGTCAAAGCGTGCCTACGTACATACATCGTCATTTTTGTAAATTTTTATACGCACCTGACCATCCTATACGCGGTTTTAATGCTGATAATGAAAGTACAAAGGAGCGCCTACATCAATAAACAAGTGTGAATAATCTAGTTTTTGATAAATAGCTCTATATTTACCTGATTTGACTTTAGGTCTTTCAAAAAACCGTTATTCCTTACAACCATATGCTCCATGCAACATGGTATCAGAGTTTAGTATAAGTACATAAAATGGCGAATATACAATATATCATATCATATTGTCCAAGAAATAAGGAACAAAATAAATTCAATGTTGTTTAACATAATTCTGCCGGTATGCCATTTTGTTCAGTGGTATCATAGCCTCACCTAAACAAACAGATTATACGCTCTCAAGATGCGAAGCAGATGCAATATGTAGCATCATGCTTGATTTGTATTCCGAGAAATTCGGTATCATGATTAATATATTGTGACTTTTAATAACTTCTGTATTGTGGTATTCTCATAAAAAGACATTTCCACATATTAACACTCCACCCTAATGCATGGTTACAGACATTGATAATTTTTTGCTCGTTTAGAACTACAGCGTTAATAATTATTTGTGTGCAGTCATATTAAAGCTCACGATAAATAGCATAAAGTTACGTTTATCTCTTTCCTGATTATAATTTCTCTGCCAAAAAAAAAACAAAACTCTAACTCATTCATCACTCAAGCATATATGGCGCGTGCTCATGAGCTTGTATGCATTCTTCGCTTGAATGTATTGGAATATTTGTAAGCAAGGGCGTGAATATTAGCACAGCCTACGACATTGACGTAGCTGGCGCCCCTAAATGATGGCATGGTTGGCGCAACAGCGAATTGGCTTAACACAGAGTGTAATTGTTATAAATATATTGTACATTTGTATGCATATATTTGTTTATTTGTGAGAAACACTTAAATACACTGAAAGTAATGAAATGGTAATAATATGTAATTGGTTGTACACAGATTTCTTATATATACATATGTATATACAGATATGTATTGTACTTGTATATATAAATGTAAACACATGAGTTCGAAAAGAATTACTACACGTTACTTGTATTAACATATTTCTTGACCACTCAACATAACAATAACGGCATCTGTGCGTTGGCTGGAGATGTCTAGATTATGCCAGTTGACAAACCGGCATTTTTCGATGAAAAGCAGATGAAGTCAATTTCATTGGAGTCGTAAAAATTGCAACAGGAAGCACTAATCTACGCATATAGCGTTAATTCACTTAAGCGCACACAGGCAATGAGACTGTTGAGTGGACAGACACGCAGACACTCCATTTGTATATATATAATATATATAAACGTAGCTATAACTTTTGTATGACTGTATAAATTGGTCTATGCTAATAGGCAAAATACGTATGTCCACTATGAGCTGTTGCTGATGCGGCTGACACATTCTTTTCTTCCAGACATAAAGCATGTATGTTTGTAAATATTATATATCTACTTTGTGTATGAGTTTTGTGCAAAACTTTAACTGTTTCATTGAGGTAGTGTCAAAGTAATTGAACTTACCTTCATCAGTCAGGTCACTTGGAGTACAAAACACACGCACTCGCTCACTCAATAAATAATTATATGGACATACCACGACGACGGCGACGATGACGACGACGACGAGTCGCTTATTTTATGGAACACCATATGTCAATTAAATTTTAATCAACCGTATTGATTAATGTATGCTTGTTTGATATACAAAAGTTAAATAGAATGTAATATAATATTTTATATGCATATGTATACATGTATGTATGTAAATCACGTCAGTCTACGCGAATAGGCAAATAGGTTTGGCAGGACACTTGGGGCTGTCGGGTGCAGTCACCATTTGTCACGAGGGCGCACGTACGGTGACGCACTACGCTAAGCTAACAGCTCTGCTCTATTGCACACTTCAATAACGACTACTCTTCGTACTCGCAATAGCTCTACAGTACAGTAGCTCTTTGTAGAGTAGTAGAATTTGTTAAGGTGTTGTCAACTAAACGTCAGTTTACTCTTTATTAGGTTAGCTCTAAGTAAGTTAGCAATAAATGCCATTATTACGGCCGCAATATTTGGCATAAAGTATACGTAGTGGCGTACTATTACAGAAATTTTTTAACAAATACTAGTTTAACTAAAATTTTATTTTACTAAAACCCGTGGAGTAAATACCGTTAGCTATAGAAAATAAACGCTCTTTAAATATGGACTTAAACTAATAAACACTACTAAGTAGATAATTAATCATCTTCAGACATCCAATTGAAGAAAAAATTTTATATTGACGAATCCCAATGTAAATTTTTTAAAGGAAAAAGTTTATTGCCTTAGAAGATATGATAAGCTTTCTAATCCCAGAACAGTATTCAAGAAACGGTTCAGGACATGTTGTAAAAACAACTTTATTAATACAGTCCACGACAAAAAGCTAGAACTTTATATATTTTGTTTTTTAATTGGGTTTGGTTTTATTCAAGTGGTTACAAGAGTAACCATTTCAAATCCTTCTCGGAAATACAATAAAATTTGTTCTTTAGCAATAATATCTTATTATTTTATGGTAAAATGGGTCATTCGTTGAAAGCCATATAAAATACAGTAAACGATTCCGGCATGTTTTACGCAGCAATAAAAATACATGTATATGTACTTATGTCTCAGATAATTGGTCAGATTTATGCGACGCTTTGAGAAAGAAAAGTTATGATATTTGCCGTAATGAACTAAAGAATTGGATACCGGCTCGAGGGCATACTTATCTAATACACGTTGATTTATTACATTTACTTTATATTTTGAAGATTGATAAAGCCAAGACACAATGACATTTAGGCCCGTTACTCTTTCTTAATAGAAGACTTCCATTTGTCTTTGATAAGAGTGCACGATTTATAAAGTTTCACATCAACTTGCATTACATGCTATCTTGAGTTACTCCTAAATATGTAAATGACAACAGAAATGGTATTTTTACACACTACCGTTTGGAATCCGTCTTACAAATATAAAGAACCCTATTGTAGAAATTAAAATACACCAACACCACGTTATGAAAAAACAATGAGCGACACACCTTGTTAAGCACTTAAAAATTAAACATTTATGTTAAAAGTTGTCTGCGATGCTAAGAAGTAAATTCAAATAAATGCGAAACGCCAAATATTAGAGGAGATCGAGTGCGATAAGTAAAATTCTTTGAATATTTTTAGAATAGCGAGAAGCGTGGCTAATCCGATATTTTTTAACTAAAGCTCATGAAGTATTACATACATACAGCAAGAAAACATTCTCTTTGATGGACAACTTAAATATAAGTTTTGAAGGAATATAGAGGTAATGTAAACATAAGTTTAGAAAACAAGTAGAGGCCTAATAAACGGCGTTTAAGAAACTATTTCAATTTAATGAATGTATTTCTTTAAATTAGATAAACAAAAAATCCCGGATGATGGGTTTCGTAATTTACGAGGGCAAAACAAGAAGTTGTCGCACTGCTCCTTTAGCCCGAACGCCAACATTGACCGTCAAGGCTTTGAATATGTTGATAATGTCGACAGTCTTGGAACCAGCACAAACACTGCAAACAGTGTCTGCCTTGCACCAAACTTATCAAAACGTGATACTTTAGACTGAGAAGATTAAAACACTACTATTACAGATGACGAAGGCAAATAAATTATCTTACATAAATGTGTTTTTGTGATACAAAACATAAGTTCTAAGCACTATCGGATTTTATCAAAATTTGTTGGTGTATTTTTATTCTTTAACGTAATTCAAAGCTGAATGGTTTTTTTTAATTAATTCATAATGATGTTTTCTGTAATAAATAGAAAAAATTTCCACGATAAGTATTTCCTCAAAATAAAAATCGTGTTGTAAACGAACGTGAATTTAATTGCGACTTTATAATAGTTTATTTTGTGAAACACTGGTTTTAGATCTTAATATATAATCCAGAAAAGACAACTATAAGCTAAAGTCAAATAATGCTGTGTTTTAAGACTATGTTTATAAGTTTAAGCCACAAGTTCGTTGCAAAAATATAATAAATTTCATTGATGATAAATAACAAAAGAAAAAACATTTGAGATGTACATACACATATTTAAAAATTTGATCTAAGCTAATTTAAATATTTTAAAATTATAAAAAACTAGTTGTTAAAAATATTTAAGATTACATCTAGCACATACGACAAATCTGTAGCGTAGGAGACTTCTGAAAACTTCTTGGAATCAGATTCCTTGAGTGCCTGCAACAGCTGGTGCAACTGCCGCAGATGTTTGGCCAAATTGGTGCAGCGTAGCATCGCGACGTACTTAGCTCCACCGGAGGCTAATTTCCAAACACCAACACATGCTATCAATTGTTCTTCGTACGATACATATTTCTGTTTCGCATTTGATGCTGTTGACGAATCCAGTCGTGCGCCGACAATCGCATCAATTGTACAAATAAAATCGTTTGATGTCATCAAAGCCGAACGATTACTACTCAGAAAACACATATTGCGCAATATACGAAGCGTAAGCATGCGTGTAGTGCTGCTGGGAGGAGACCGTAAAATTACATCACAGAGAGCGCGCAAATTGCGCGTATGCGCACCTTCCGGATAGCGTGAAAATAACTCCCAAAACTGCAGCCATGAACGCAATATATCCGCTTTAACTTTAGGCGATTTTAAATGAAACGGATGCAGGCTATCGAACATGTCCAACATGTGTGCCTTAATTATGGTGACGCGACCCTCTGCACACGAGCAACAATTCATAACTATACGCAAGCCCGCGCTGATAATCGGAAAACTTTCGACATTGTTCGCTTTCACCTTCGTTGTTTCGGCTACAACCAACTTAATGATTAATTGCAGTAATGAGTGTGTATAACCGGAAAACAGCCCCGCAAACTGCTGACATACGGCAAATGAATGTTCACTATGGTGACAACACACCTGCAGTACCAACTCTTTTAATTCACCCGAGTGTGGCAACCACGGCCACAACTGCATTATGAGTTTGGAGAGTGCTACACTTTGAAGATTATCCGTGAGCGCTGCATCAGCAGCGGCAAACCAATGCAAGTACACGTTCAGCAAAAGTTGAAAATTCTTTACTAATGTCACTTTTTTGTTCTCACCATAACGGCGTACGTAAGTAGTAGCGGAGCATTTGAATTGTTCAAAAAATGTATTAAAAATTTGCGTTATTTTATCGAAGAGTTTCAGATTTTTCGCCGTCAACCGAGCGCTAGCAGAAATACTCAGAAGCACACCTAAAGTTTCACTTACTTGTACTTGTGCTTTGGATGGTGCATTAGTGAATTTGCTCGTCGCTATGGAGTAAAGGTGCTGAAATAGGCGAAATAACTCTATAAAAATAAGAGCAATTGAGGATTTTGTTGCTATTGTTGTCGTCGAGCTGTTACTGCTTACAATTTCATTATCTACTAAATCAACATCGACGTTTAGATCCCCACTGAAATTGTCATCCTCTCTCGGCGTAAGAATTTCATTAAATTTCGCCACTTTTAGCGCGATAATGTCTTTATTATCCGTTATTGCTACATTGCGTTCCAGTGTCGCTAAAATGTTATTTGTTTCATTTTGGTCTTGCATTTTATTCTGAGCTTTGATTAATAATAAACTAAACGCTGCCAAGGAGCAACGTTGCAGGGGTGTATTGAGATTGTCAATAGTAAAAGCGCGCAAGAAATGTCTTACAAGTGATGCCGGCGCTTTGGAAATGTTGTCACATAATTTCTTATAGGCCATATCGTCTTTACATAAAACCAACAGCAGCTGCAAAACATTGACAATCACTGCATCTAATGTATGTGGCTGGTCGAATAATTGATAAAAGTGCTTTAGCCAAACTTGATCACGACACAAAGTGCGCTGCAGTAAAGGGAAATTTGTTGGATAAAATGCTCCATATAAGTGGCATACATCGCCGCACATGACATGATATGCGGGATTCGCATTCGCCGGTGGCATTTTCAGTAATTCATATAATTTAAACATAAAATCACTCTCACACAGCTCTCTAGCGAAATCGGGTTTATTTTCCAGCATTCTTGTGCATATTCTACAAAAACAACTTATCAAACCACAATTAGTTATGCTGATTGGCGAATTATGATCGAAATGTAATGGTAAAGTTTGTTCGAATGTGCAAGAACCCCGTATGGCTTCGTTTGCAAACGATAGAAATTTATGTCGTGTAAGTAATTGAAATGCATCCTCTTTTTTCTCAGCTCCACTAAGAAAATTGGTAAATAAACTCGCCGCTAACTGACGTACCACTAAAGTTTCACCGACATCTAAAAAAGTGCACAAACAACATGCCATAAAACCGCCGGGCAGATAGGATAACTCATTTTCTAGAAAGTCAATACCAGTTGTTAATATTGTACTGTTATCAGGCTGGTCATCATAGCGTGAAAAATATGTTAAAATACACCAAGCCAGCGCACGAACTTTTCGGTCACAATGCCCGCATAGACCACTCAAGTACTTAACTGATGATTGGCAGAGCTTAAAATTACGTTGTGGTTCCTCCAACTGTGTATAAAGTCGACAAACAATAGTCAGACAATCAATCTGCCATTGTGATCCGGTTTGCGTAAATGACTTTAATACGAGTGATAATTTTATGAACCGTTTGCAGTATGCCATAAGTTGTCCATCAGCAATGTCAATATCGTAAGTGCTTAGTGAAGCCTGTAGACTCAATAAGCAGCGTATGCGTAGGAAATCACGTTTTTGAAAATGCCGCGTGATCAATTGGAATATCAATTCAAATAAGTTACTATGTAAAATACGCAAATTTTCTTCGTCTCCATTTACAGTTTTAACGGATTCCATTAAACTTCTCAATAAACCACATAATTTGTGATATAAACGAAGTGAAGTATCTTCGTTTTTAAGTAGCGCAATAATAGCATGTTGAAAGTCCGAAATAAAATCCTTTACCAAATATATACTTATTATAGTTAAAGGCAGATGTACGGAAAATTGACAGAAATCGATCAATTCTTCAAAAAGTTCATAATCCGACTCATTACCCGGCGGTAATTGCAAGTATTTACTAATCATGCCATATAGCTCATCGACAAGTTTGTCGGTCATCAATGCGGTATTAGTTTGTTGATCGCACAGACTAAGCTGTAATTGCAATGAAATACTCGCATTTATTAGCGACTTATGATCGGTAGCATTTAAAATTGCTCGTAAAAATCGTTGTATGTTATATTTCGAATTAGTAGCGCTCATTAGGCGCCAATCACGTAATTGCAAATGCAATTCTACATCAAAATCGTAATCCTTTTGCTGTTCCAGGTACTGTTTAGGCGCAGGAATTTGACCGTCAGAAAAGGTGTTTGCTAGTAGATGTCGCATATATAATGTGGCTTCCGATTTATTTCTGAAAACTTTTTCATATTCATAAAGCGCGGTATTGTGTTGTTCAAAGGATTGTAAATCAAAGTTAAGGGGCAATTGTAAATTACTTAACAGGCTGGGTGCCTCAGCCCGCTGGTTGCCCAATACTACAATGAAACTGGAATAAAGTAGCAGAAATAGACAAGCGCAAGCGTCCTGGCGTAACTGTATGTCATTTTGATACAGAGCAAGCGCACGTAACAGTAAAATATATATATTTGGCGTATCTGATAATTCGCAACGCAAAGAAGCGTCATATAACAACACCTTACAAAGTATACTGATGGCGGGAATTGCAGAACCGGTATAATCTTCATAAGATGTAACCAATAGTGCATTTTCGAGCGCTTGTAAGATTAAATAGTGAGCACTTTCTTCACAAAATCTAGTTAATGTTTGCCATTGCTGACACATCACATTCAATTGCATTAGTGTTGTTTTGCGTATCACTGGTTCCACATCGGGCATTTCTAACATATTCAACAAATTGTGTAAAGTATCTTTCTCATAAGAAGCATTAATATCTGTAAATATGCTTTGATATTCACGAGGACTTTTTAAGATACACACATCGTTGGGTATTACATCGCTTATATGTAAAAGATTTGGTACATATTTATCAGCGTCTGGTAGTGTATTCATTATGTAAAGAAGGCGCGCTAAAGCTTCACTGCGTACGTTGGTGTCGTGATGAAACATAAATACAATATTACCTTGCAATACCGTCAAAAAAGGCAGCTGCTTTGCATCTGGATCAAGTAGTTTTTGCAGCAGCATTACAATATTTCGGGATTGTGTACAACACTGTAACAAAGGCAATATTGGTAGAAATAGTTCTAATAATTTTAGCCATTGTTCACCCAATAACTGCTGAGATTTTAATATTAGCGTTAATATGTCTTCACTGATTTTGCTTAAGTTTTCATTTTTGTTATCGCCGCATACATAAATCAGATGGAGTAGTAGTTCACTACTCCATGGTACACCTAGTACTTGACATGCTAGCAACTGTCCATGCGTCAAGCCAATACAGTAGCGTTCGCTTTCCATTAAGCATGCAAAGTGCCGTTTTACCGCCATGGAAAGTATTTTGTAAACATGTATCCGCAGTGGTTCATGTTTTAAGCGTATTAAATGAAGTAATAATTCTGTAGCTTTCGACCGTAATTCGGGCTTTTCTAAATATTGTGCGTTGCATTCTATAATCGATTGAAATACATATTCAGTTAATTGTACACTTTTCAAATTTTCTAAAGCCACAAATATATTGGGTTCATGCAATAGTATCAATTCGCTCTTAATAGTTTGTGGATAACGAAGTAATGACACTGCAAATCGAATACAGTTGTCATAATGTTGTAGCTTTTGACATTGATCAAAGGATTTAGAACCAAATTTACGTTTTTCAATATTACGGTAACGGTGCGGGAAATTAACTTTGAAGGTATAATCACATAGAAGAAAGTCTAACATTTTTGATTCGTCCTTCTTCGTTTGTTCGTTGATATTATAAGCTGAAATATCATCCGTTAGACATACAAGTAGAAGATATTTAATTCTTTTCAATGTAAAATGTCCATCTTGCTCAAAGCAAATTTGAAGATTATGTATAGTTGTGTATAGCCTTTGCAGCACACCATTATCAATACTTATTTGTTGAAGGCGAAACAGCTCAAGACAGTCACTAGCGATTTCCATAATATATTGCATTTCTTTACGAAATTCGTGTACTAATATTTCCAAAAGTTGTATACTCTTTGCAAGAACTAGTCGCAAAATAGTACTCACTTTTAATTGTGTATTTCCGGATATAATTGTTACTGCTGTATTTGTTGAATATGCACTTACATTGGAACGCTCTTTTGATCTGGCCAAAAGAAGCTGCAAGTAAACTTTAATTGGCCTTATAACTTTTTCCAATAAACTGCATTTTTCAAAATCATTTAAATTATATAGTTGTAAAAGACGCAAAAATACATGTGGTGCTTGAAGCATATATTCGGCAGGATAGTCTAACATTGTGATTTCTAGATGTAGAAGGGCATTTGACATTTCGCGTTTGTCAACATCTGTATTAGTTAAAAGATCTGCTATAAATCTGAGTGCAGTAAAATCTGCCGATGTTGGTTTTGACCATGCTGGTTCGTAGTCATTAGCTACAAAATTGCTTAAAAACGTTTCACTTTTAACACTGTCATTTTCATCGGTATCATTAAGTGAAACAGTTTCAAAAACTTCTATAACTTCATCAGTTTCATTTTTCATTCTACTATCGTGGTAGTTGGACAGTATACTCTTTATTTCATCTACCATTTCTGATTCAGTTGGATACTTTTTGACTCGAAGTTTAACTTTATCCATCTCTCGCTTAAAACGATTTATACCAAGTTGTTTTACAGCTTGTTCGTTGTAGCTGGAACTTAAAATTTTTATGAGTAGTTGGAGGACGCGATTTGCTTCACATATTGGTTCATAGCCAAACCAACGGATGAGTTGTTTACACAAGTCTCCTGCTTTGAAATGAATTTTCTCATTATGGTCGAATGCACGATTTAACTTATTCCAAATTTGTTCAAATGTTCGCAACCGAATTTCAGACGATTCGTGAGTAAGCTTTTGTATTGTTAAAGGATCCAGTTGCAGAGACATATTAATTGCATCTTCATCTACAAGCACTAGAAGTAATTATCCAAATTCAAATAAAACAAAAAATTTATTACCTAAAATCCACGATTTGAAGGAATAAATTCCAATACAGTTTTCTCTATCTATTTAATTACGAATTATAGATTTTATAATCAATTTATACTCAATAACAAGTAAGTACTTAAAGCAAGATAATGATTTTTAAAACACTGCTATTTATTTTTGAATCCAATGACAGGGCGCTCTATCAGAGATGAAAAAAGTTTATAGTTTCTTCTAAATAAAAGCTATCGATTTAAAAATATCGAAGGTATATGTCATGGATAAAGGGATGCCTATTGTAGCCAGATCGGCCAAAATAAAATTATTTAGGTTTTTTAATTAAAATACCCAACATTTATTAAGATTATTTATTGTTATACATATAACATATGGAGAAACAATTTGAATACCTTTTTGTGATTTTGTGATATATAAAAAGAACTGATTTTTGAACTTTCAATAACTTGAATATATGTATTAGCTCTCAATTAATAAGTGTATTTTTTTAATCAGTTTAAATTAAAAATTAATACTACGGAGCATGCATCCCAAAAGATTTCATCATTTCATTTTTGTTAGTGATCTTCAATAGAGGCAACCAATTTCTCTGTTCACATATTTTTTTTTGTAGGATTTCAATCTGGCCGTTGTTCTTTTTCCAATTGCTAAACGTCAAAACCTCCTGAACTTTGATGACCAATTTATATAGAACTATTGCTTCGCTTTATGTCAGTAATTTTATTTGACAGAAAAATATGATGTACGCTTTTGTATGACTACGTTCACATAAAAGGTTTTCGACGCGAAGTCAAGCAAAATGTTGGGCAATTCTAAACTTGTACACTTGCCAAGCAACCATCGCCATTTTTATAAGAGAGAAGCACTAAAATCAAAGCGTTGATTGTGGCATACCTTTTGTTTTCTGCGCTTCGATGTTTCAGTATGAACCCTAAAGCGAGGGAAGTTGTATCAAGGATGAAATGATGCGAAACTCTTTGATTCGAGAGAGAGCTGTCAAAACCCATATTTTTTATAACATTTGTCAATCATGCCACTGTCAAAAGAAAAAGGATTGGGTATTTTAAAAATAGCTTTTGAGTATTTTGCATTTCGTTATATTTTTTAGGTGCCGGTTCCCGAGTAGGCCTATATAACGCATATACATCCCTAAATACGTGTATGAATATTATAAAATTTTTAATACATCATATAACATAAAAAAATATATATTAATAAATAAAATTATAACAAAGAAACAATACAAGTCATAATATAATATCATGGTTTTATGATTAAAGTTTAAATTAGCAAAAAAAAATTTAGTTGCACGTTCCTTGAAATTTCGTTTCGCACTGCTTTTGTTAGCAATTTTTTGCCGGTTTATTTCTGGCCTCCCGCCTTTTTGATATCAGCTGTTCAAAATTCCCTAATCGTAATAATCAGGGAAAGAAAATAACAGAAAAATTAGGGAAAATGAGAGAGCCTCGCATCATGTCATCCTTGGTTGTATGTGAAAAGGCCTTGACTGAGTTCAGGTGGTTTTGACATGTGTTGAGGATAACACATATGCACCTATTCGCTAGCAAAAGTATTTGTTACCTTTAACAGACTGTGTAAACCAATGTATGTCATTCTGTTAACCAAAACATAACAAACAAGGTATGCATATAAGAGGTAATTTAGAACGAGACAGCATGAGAACAGCAAATGGCGATGTGTTACTTTTTTCCCACTCTCAGCCGCTTCAGAGATATGCATGTAAATATAAATATAAGAGATGTGCTGTTATAAAATACAATGTGATGAATTTAAGAACAATTTTTTATTTATATTAATACATAATCTAATAAAAAGAAAACATACAAAGTCCTGTCTGTTATAAAGAATAAATGTGTATTTAACTTCAACTCAGCGCAGAGAAAAGAAATTGTTATACATGGCCCTTACATCTATAATTTTTATCTCTTAGGTATGGACTAAAAATATCAGTCATGGTATAATCGATGATATTATATTAACTTCTTTAAAAGCAAGACCGTGCGGTATTGGAACATCACTAAATAGTATATTATTTAATATTTGGTTAGGAACGGTAAAGAAGTTTTTTACATCGGTATAAAGTAAAATGATTACAATTTTACGGACAATATCTAGAAATCTTACTAACGAAAAGTTTTCTGTTGTTAATCGCGCTTCCTTTCCTCAACGGCTTACATGTTTTCATACAGGTGCAATTTTAAGGTGTGATGCAAAGCCGGAAGAAAACGTTAGTGCTTCTGAATCCAATAATCTTACTGCTGAAGAAATAAAAAAGCGCCATGATGACCGAACACAAATTATTCCAGTAGAGACATCAATGAGATACCTTAAAAGTTCTGCCTACAAAGAAACATATGGAGATCAATTAGTTTGGGAGCAGTATAGGTACGAAATAAATGCACATGGATATATTTTTGTCTCATAAATTTTTAATCGTAGGCGTAACCACAAAGGAGCCATCCCACCGCGTAAAACACGTAAAACTTGTATTAGGAAGGGAGTAATATCTACCGGAAATCCTTGTCCTATTTGTCGTGATGAATATTTAGTGTTAGACCACCGAAATATTGAGTTACTACAACAATTTATTTCGCCACATACGGGTCAAATTCTAAGTTATTCTAAAACTGGCCTTTGCCAAAAAAAACATTTTGAATTAACAGTGGCCGTTAAACGTGCGCAGGACTTCGGGCTTATAACTTTTAACGTGCCATTTAGAGAATTCGATTTAGACGAATACTACGGTAAAGCTGGTGTTAAAAAAGAATAACAAACTAATACACTTTAAATTTACATATTAATTTAGTAATTTTTATGGAAGAAACAAAATAATGGCTTCTAATAGTGTTGACAATATTTCCCAATTCGAACAACATTCATCGACATTCCTTGTAGTTGGTGGTGGGATAGCAGGTGTAACCTGTGCAGAAACATTAGCAATTTACCATCCAGAAGAGAGCATAACTTTAATAACAGAATCGACCGTTATAAAAACTATAGCTAATTTAGAACCCGTAGCAAGATATGTTTATAAATTTGATGTGAAGGAACGATCTTTGAAAGATAAATGTCAAGCTAGCCTTGCACCCACAATTGTAACCATTGTTGATCGGCTTAAGAATATAGAGGCTTTGGATCATTGCGTAACCACTGAGAATGGTCGACGTATCTATTATAAATCTATTTGTCTCTGTACTGGAGCTGCACCCAATCTAGTTCTCGGTAACAATCCTCGAGTTATTGGAATCCGTGACACCGATTCAGTTCTAGCACTGCAGGAATTCTTAAAACATGCTAAAAAAGTTACTTTGCTGGGTAATGGTGGTATAGCAAGCGAACTTGCTTATGAGTTGCATGGAATTGAGGTACATTGGGTGGTCAAAGACAATCATATTGCGTCAACATTTGTAGATCCAGGTGCAGCCCATTTCTTTCAAGAATCAGTACGCCTCAAGCGATCAGAACATAGCAAAGCTGATAAAGAGAAAACACAATCCACTTCGATTGTTAAACGACTTAGATACAAGGAAATACAATTAGAAGAACTGTGTAAGGAAAGCAGCAAAGTTCATGGTGCGGCTTTGGGACCCGATTGGCACAGGAATTTCACATTGACTGGTAATGCATTATCTACAACAGATTTACCGATTATACACTACAAATCATATATTAAGGAAATAATAGAAGAAAATGAAAAAATGGTGGTTACGCTCACCAATGATGAACGTATTGAATGTGATTTCCTTATATCTGCAACCGGTGTCGAACCGCGTCATAATTATTCTTGCTCGATTCCTTTATCTATGGCATCCGACGGAGGAATCGCCGTAAATGACATGATGGAAACAAATGTTTTAGATATTTATGCTGCTGGCGATGTTTGTACCGCTATGTGGGAGCATGGTGATCACTGGTTTCAAATGAGATTGTGGACACAAGCTCGCCAGATGGGTTGTATGGCCGGGCGTAGTATGGGCGCAAAATTAACAAATGAAGTAATTTATCAAGATTTCTGTTTTGAACTTTTTGGACACGTGACTCAGCTATTTGGTTATCCTGTTGTCCTACTCGGGCGATATAATGGCCAAGGTTTAGGAACCGATTACGAGTTACTGATTCGCAGTACTGCTTGTAAGGAGTATATAAAATTTGTACTTCAAAATGGCCGTTTACGAGGCGCAATATTGATTGGGAATACAGAACTGGCTGAGACCTGTGAAAACCTAATTTTAAATAAAATTGATCTTACCCCATATGGAGATGACATTCTTAATCCGGATATCGATATTGAAGACTACTTTGATTAAAAGTCATTGCTATTAAAATATTTTGTTTCTATTCATACAAGTATACATAAATTGAAAATAAAATAATTACATGAAAACCATTTTTTATTTAGCCTTTTGTCATTTGATTTTTGCCTCATTACCTGTAAATAAAGTAAAACTAATTCTTGTAACATGTAGGGTTGAATTTCATACTTACCGACGTATTTAATTTCATCAAAAGCTTTTCTGGCTTTCTTTAATTCTTCATTCATTGTCAATAAGTCTTTGACACGTGCATATTTTCTTTGATCCTTCCTAACTAAAAATATAATATCCTCCACTTGTACTCGCCCAGTACGTCCGATCTCCATTGCTTTGTGGGTCATTTCCGTTATAAATTCAATAACAATATCTTCTAATAAATCCACACTCTCAGTATATGGATTCTTATCATCACCAAATCCATACATCATACATCGAAGCTCCTTGCTGAACAGCCTTTTCCTTCCAGCCGTAGTCGAGACAAATTGCTCCTCGCCAAGCTCATCTTCGTCGAACTAAAATAAATTAAAATAATTACATATGTATATGTAAAGTTCAAAAGCCAAATATTTAACAAACATCCGGAGTTTCAAAGTTTTCGTCAATATTTGTGTTTGTTGTCATTTTAGCAACTGACAATTGAACGATATGATTTTTATTTATTTCTAAAAACGAATTAGTGATGACAAAACATGTAAATATGAAAATATTATCGATTAACTTGCATCGAAAAACATACTGTGACGAACACGGATGATAGAACAAAATCGAATCAACGATAAACTGCCAGAAGCAACTAGTTAGCGAATTTGTAGTTGCCAGAATGTTCTAGAAGCAATGTTTTGTTACAGATTTATGCAGCAAACACAGTTCTAGTTAGAGTGTTGTCGTGATAAGAACAATTGAGACATAAGCAAGAAGCTGTAAGCTCGAATAACGAGCAATAAGTGTTAAGTTGTTGGAATTAGAAATAAAGATAAGTGTGTAGCCATTAAATTGGGACTTTTATTTAACAATCCAGTGATCGAACTCAAGAGTGAGTTACACGTAGACGATTTATCGAGAAATCCGTTACAATACTGTGATGAACACGGAATGGCACAAAATCGAATTGACAATAAATTGCCAGAAGCAACTAGACAGCGAATTCGAAGTTGCCAGGATGTTCTAGTGGCGAACTTTTGTTAAAGATCTACTATATAAGCGCTGCCGGATGTGCAGCAAACACAGTTCTAATTAGAGTGCTGCCGTGTAAAGAGCAATTAAGATATAAGTAAGAAGTTGTGAATTCGGATAATGATTAGTAAAACGTTAAGTTGTTTGGATTGAAAATAGAGATAAGTGTAAAGCCATTACTCGTATTTCGTTCGTTTACGACTTATTACTTATAGCTCTTTACTAAGCAGCATTCTAATTAAAACTGTGCAGGTTGCACAATCCAGCAGCCCTCATATAGTAGACTGTTGCAAAAACATCGCTTCTCGAACATTCTGGCAACTACGAATTTCGCTATCTAGTTAGTCCTAGCAGCTTATCGTCGATTCTATTTTGTTCTGGCATTCGTGTTCGCTTCGTGTTCGCCACACTGTCCTCCACCAAAGTCTGATCGTCCCGATGGGATCTTCCAATGGTCTGTATGCGATACACTATAGTACATCGTTGAGTATTTATTTACCTGGAATGATCCTTCCCAACTACACTGTAATTTGGGTGACAGCCCTTTCTTCAATAAAACCCTGAGGTCATTGCCTTGTCGTATTTTGCTTCCATTTTATCGCTCATAATTTTGGTGCGCTGTCTTATCATAGCATGTATGTATATCCCTCACCTCGTCTTCTAGCATGCTGTTGGCTCCCTTACCATTCCTTCCTCCGGTGGCGTTAATTCCAAACTTCAAATCAATCGATAACTAAAAATTATTACTGAAAATTACCCTTGTTGGAGTCTGCCCCGTTGCTTCATTTACAGCGGACCGATAAGTCATCAGGAACAAAGATATATGAGTGTTCTAATCTTTTTGATACTTGTCCACAACTTTCCTTAAATGTTCTTCCAAGGCTGAATTGAATTGTTCACCATGCCTGCGGATGTAGTGTAGTTACACTCGTTAAGTACTCTCACTGGAACAAGTTTATCTTGTCTTGTTATAGCCAGAGTTTTTCCTACAAGTAAGTTTGGTGTAGATTGTTCTGTGGCTTCAACAACCCACAACTTGTTTGTACTATAATTTCCATATATTTCTGCCCAAACAACTTCTTCTAAATTTTGGTAGAATATGTCATCTCTCTGCTATTATCACTCGTCTAATGTTGTCATTATTATCATATCCGAACATAAGTGGCACTTCTATATTTGTATAAGTCATAACCCTTCATGTTAATTTTGATTATTTGATTTGCTAGAAAGTCTACTCCAATTATGACTTCGTCGAAGACATATGCCGCAATAAAATTGTGTACCACGGCTGCCTTTTCAATTACGATCTCGCACATTACTTTTCCGAAAACTTGAGTATTTTCTTCAGCTACTACACATCCAATACAGTAACGTTACTCATATTCCTGGTAATTTGTGAAATGAAGATTACAGGGCATTTGCTTTCGGGAGCCAGCCTGTGCTCATTCCGGCTGATTTTTGCAGATGCCGTCATTTCGATATCACCTGCGATATCTTTGCATCCTGAGCTTTCATCTGTGGGGGCACTTGTGCTTATATACGTGCAGCGTTTCTAACTGAGACGACAGTTGGGATTATTGTACCTTAATTTCTGATGACACTCCTGCTATTTGTAAGGCCACCTGCGATATATGTACGTGCATACTGCTCTGGCGTCTGTGCCTATATTTGTGCACTATTGCAGCAAAAGTCATGTTCATGTCCACTATCTTTGACGAGCATTAAACTTCTTTCTTTCCTTCTACCTTCGTAGTCTCTTCCTCTAACTCCAATTGAAAAACATATTCGTCATCATTAATGTTTTCCGCCTCCATGGCCTCTCGCATCCGTGATTTTCATACAGTTTTTTATCCATGTGTCGCCAAACCACGTTGCTCCAGCTCCTTTTTTAATTATGAAATCTTAAGGTCGTTAAACTTGGCCATTTTTAAATAATTATTTTCTTGGAAATTTATTTCACAATCCCACTTCTGACACTAATTGTAACGGATTTCTCAATAAATCATCTACCTTGTAATTTACTCTTGAGTTCGATGACTGGATTGTTAAATAAAAGTCCCACTTTGATAGTTATGCACTTCTCTTTTTTTCTACTCGTATTTCGAGTTTACAAAGTTTTGCTCATGGTAGTACTTTGGTATAGCATCTCCCGGTTTCGTAGATAAAATAGGTATTGACGAATAGAGGATAATATGTTTTGCATATATTTAATTACCGAACACAGGACACGATATAGAAATCTGTTGAATTGTGATTTCTATGCTGTGTGACATTTCATTGCGACACTTCAATTTAGCATTTTTATTTATGATATTTCAGCAGTGATGCTTTTTCAAACCGGTTGCATCATAAATACTGCGCAGTTTGCATAACCGAAAATGTCTCATATTGTTGTAGACAGTCGGAATTTTAATGCCATCTACTGTGATATTAACATTCATTCTCTCCACTTTGGCCCAGTTCGTGAATATTGTCTAATTTCGCAATCAAAAATTTCTCCAGCTTCTCTCTCTGCTTTTTAAGCTCTCTTCTGCTAGTTTTTTGAGTAACACGGCTTTTTTAGTAGAAACTTGACCAGCTAATGATAGTTACGACGTTCGCAAACAAACATATACTTGCATATAGTAACAGTTAGAGACTATTCATGGGTGTTGTGGAATCCAAGACAGATTTGCGTAGTTGTCAGATTGCAAACCAATTCTGATTTTCAATTTTGTCACAGAATCTGATTGTTCTTCGTCTTTTGGAACATACCCAAAACTAATATTCGAATCAGCTGTTTACTAATGTAACAAAACTTGCAAAAGAATAAATTTGGAAGCTTTTTTTTTTAATTTAAAATACTAAATAAACTATATTAAAGTTTACAATGAGTTACGCTCTTTTAGGTTAGGGAAATATTAAGAGAGCACAGTAATCTACTTGATGCACCAGGGGAATCGCATGTTAAATTTGGTTTACATTTACTTGCATACATTTATATCACATTATCAACTGTTAAATTTCGTAAATTCTCTTAAAATATCTTTTTGTGTTTTATTCTTACGTTTCCCCATATATGTAGAAACTATTATTATTAAATCGTAACAATAATATAAATTAATTTCATAACTTACATTTCAAATCTGTCAGCGACTATACTTTTGCTTTTTTCTGATAACAAAACCGATCAAATTGGTTTCCGTGATACCCAAAACCGATATAATTTCTGTTTCGAACGTCAAAGCAATAATATTTGAATTCATGACACCTACTTAATTTTTTTAATCGATTTCAATTCTGATTCCGACAACTATAAGATTCTACAACACCCCTAATTATATTCTTTTATAATTTTAATATATGTATGTACATATATGATTTTAAATATTGATATATGCATCCATATAATATAAAGTTAAGGGCAAATATTTATTTATTGTTTTAGTTAATATATAATTTGTGTCGATTAAGAATTATGTATAATATTAAACCTAACTTTGTTAATATGACTTGATGGCACCTTCCAGTTTCGCCGTTTGGTCCTTATTAATAGGGGTTTCGAAACCATTCTCATTAGCACTCAAAACATTCAATGTATCTCTTGAAATAATCATTTTGCATATATTTTGCACAAATACATTTACTTTACAACCTTTGAACTGACATTCTCCAATGAATGGTGTAGTTGCGTCAGAGTATCTATTAAAATAATTAATAAATATAATAAAATTACGATTAATCCAGTTTGCCTATAACTGATTACTTACTTAGCCCACTCCTCTAAATGGTTCAAAATTGTATACCTGGCATTAAGGTTTTGTGGTTTGAAGACTGTTGACACATGTATTGCATTATTAAGGGAATTCGTTATTTTAGAATCATCAAAGTGACATTTTGAGTGAACACTCAAATCGATGCCAATTTTACAATTCAAAACGTTTGTATGTTTTAACTGTAACAATGACTCATTCATTACAGTTACACCGGTTGCAAATCGTTCTACGACGCATTTTTCAAGAATAACTGTTGTTCCTTTATGGCATATAATGCCCTGTTGAGTATTTGTTTTTCCATCGCCAATTAAAATACAATTCCGCAGACGCAATGTTCCACTTTTTACTAAAATTCCAGTTTGTACGTTGCGACAGTCTAAGACTACATTTTCAATAGTAAAAGACATTTCGAAAACAAAAAGAACACTTTCTTCATCTGATGACGATATTGAAACATTTTCTTTAGTAAAGTAATCCGATGATTTTGTTAACTTCTCTTTGTCTGTAATAAGACCACATATCCTACCGCCATCGGCCATATTTTCCAAAAATTTTACAGTATGACGGCCAGGTGAAAGATAAATACGGTCATAATTATTACAAGTGTTTAAAATTTCCTTAAAAAAGAGTTTAATGAATTTTGTGTATGAATCCAGAAACAAACAGTATACCATACCTGCAATGTGGGAACGGTTTGAACCAAAGCATCTTTTGGAATGCTCTTCTTGGCAATTTGGATTAAATATATTTGTTGATCAAGTATGCATGGCGTCATTACAAAATAAATTTGTACAAGTTTTCTTTCGCTAGATATGTCATTTTGCTCATTTTTATTGAAATATTTTACTTCTGGAAATTTTATTTCTTGAAAAATTTTTCTCATTTCTGGATTTTCTAATAATTCAATTTCATTGCGAATCATAGCTAGGCGCAAGTGCAATCTCATTAAATCAGTTACTTCTGTTTTACCCATCGTTTCTTCGAGGTCTGCTTCGTCTTCGTCAGTAAGTCCTAGTTCTAGGTACTCTCGTCGTTGTTGTAAATACTTAGATTCTGTAAGCAATTTACGTATATGGGCTGCCAAGGGTTTTTTCATTGTTCTTTTACGCAAGTCATAGCAAAATCGGATACGTGACTCTAAATGCTTTTCTACCCAATTAAGGTCGTCATCGTTATCATTGTCCCATGGCATCCAAACATGAGTATAAAAGAACCTTAAACGATCAATACAATCAGCAGTTCGTTCAATGTTTAATTCGGAGTTTTCTTGCTCTTTCGTAGGCCATAGATCTTCCAAGAAAACTTCGTGCTTCTCCGGTATATGAATGTCTTCATCTTGAACTGCTTGGATAATAAATATAGCTTTCAAATCTTTAAAAACAACTTGCTCCACGTAACCGAAAACTACAGTTGGGTATCTAATACATAATTCTTCACATATCACTCGAGGAATCTTCCATAGTGCTTGCCAACCTATATTTTAAAATAAAACTCTCCTTTTTAAAATATGCCATGTAGTTTAATGACGCACCATGTACCTGCTGGTTCAATCTGAAGTTCAATATAATATGACCACTCGGAACGTACTTGAGATGCGGGTATAACTTCATCTTTCCAAGATAAAACTCCCATAGATTCTTCCAAGCGGTCAAGCAAACACTTATCAAATTCATAAACTTCCATTGCACAAATTTCAAATATTAGGAAAAGAAAATCTTGAACACAAATTCAAATAGGTCACGGCGTTGCCAACCACACCGCATTAAGATAAAAACTATCGATAAGTACTACCAATTTTGAGTGTAGATAATTGTGGGCAACCAATTGTCGGATTGATTGCCAGATAAACATGGCTCCCACCCAGCTCAGGAACTAGGAAGAGCATCTTAATTTAAAATAACTTTTTTAAAGAATGGTTGGTGGTTTTACTAGTTTTCTTAATATCTGGTTAGCAAACATCTGTCAGTTATTATATTTATAGGTAAGCTAAAAACTTGGTGGAAATGGTTCTGTCAGTTAAACTATCAAAGGTAAAGGATAATATTAAGTGTTGATTGGTCAAGACCAAAGGATTCGTTCCGAACCCATGTTGAACTACTAAATTGGTTAAAAAGCAAACTATGACATTTAATAATGAATAAAGTAAATGTAAATGATGATAGTTTAATATCAATAAAACAGTTTTTCAATAAATAAACTATTAACAACTATAGATTATTACTTTGCCTATTTTAGCTAAATTCCCATTCGGTAGATTTCATTGTCATTTTAGTTACATTGTATAATAATTTTGAAGCATAAAATGTCATTGAAGACACTATATAACAAAAAAAACTATCGTGGTTATCGATATGTTGCGAATATTGAATTGTGATTTTGTTTACATTATTATGCTTTGTCTGCTGTCATACTATCAGAATTTATTAATTGTAATTTGATATAAGTGAACCCATGAAGTTAGAAACAAGAAAACAATAATGGATGACAACGGTCAATGGATGACATCACTTCCAAATGAACTGCGCAATTTGCCAATCATCAATCTTGCAATACCCGGTACATATCAAGATTCCAAATTTACACACGTACTTAATTTTAGTAACATAATCTCTTTTTTATTATAATTTGAACTCTCAAGGTTCTCATGATACAATGTCATATGGAATAAAATCTGGAGCAAAGCCTGCTCCAGATGCAGAACGGTCGACAAGGTGGTTGAATTTCTTTTTCCCTTGGTGTGTGAGACGTTGGGCGAAAACACAGTCTTCCAGTGTTTTGGAACAATTGTTGTTAGGAGTGCGATATTTCGATTTGCGAGTATGCCAAAATAACGATAAATTCTTTTTTGCTCATGGACTCTTTGCAATGGAAATTTTTGAACCACTGGGAGAACTTAAGCGCTTTTTACTTTCAAATAAGGGAGAGATTTGCATTTTGGACTTTCAGCATTTTTACGATATGAATTTGTCGCATCATGCCCAACTACAGAAACTTTTACTGGAATTATTTGACTCCCTGCTGTACACTAAATTTCATGGAACCATAACAGATTTCACATTGAATAGATGTAGTACGTTGGGTCCACAAATATTTTTAATTTACCGGCGTTGTCCCTTGCCTTTGCCAAAAGAATTTTGGCCAAGTAATACTTGGCCGACTCCATGGCCAAATGTTACTTCCATTAAGAAACTTGAAACATATCTTCAACAATCACTTTTGTCCAGAAAACCTTCTCAAGGATTCGTCTCACAATGTGTATTGACACCTTCTGGCAAATACATAACGCTAAGGTGATTATTCTAATATAATATAAATGTATAACATGAGATTAGTACCAAAGAAATTTCAGGTTCTTTTCTTCTTTACGTAAAACTGCGAAAAAAGTTAACAAGAAATTGAAACCGTGGATTGAAGAACAAATACCAGGACCCTTTCTGGATAATGAATCACCTAAAACAAATGTGTTCATTACAGATTTTACCAGTTTAGATAACGGACTATTTTGTAAGATGGTAATAGGGCTTAATTATAAAATTGAAAATGTTTCAAAAATCGGTGATAGTTAAAACAGTTTTTTTAACGATGTATGTATGTATAAAAAAGGTTTATTGTTTAGAAAAGAAGTACTAACTAAGAAGTAATAAATCGGTTGTAGTTATTTTTTTAACAAAGTATAAAGATATATCGCAAAGAAAGTTTTTAATATTTAGAACATAATTATTTTAAAATAAAAGAGGCTTAATTATTAAATTAGAAATCTGAAAAAAATTGATTGCAGTTATTTTTTTTAACAATGTACAAAGATATATAACCAAGAAGGAGTTTAGTATTTAGCACAGAAAGTTTAAGAGTTATTTTCAATTCCGATAAGCAATTTCACTGCTGAATTTCTAATACGGAGAATTTCGATTTATTGCTTTTGTAATATATATATAGGAAAAAAAGGTTTCTAGACTTTAGATTAGATTAGATTAGATAATGATTGAGGTATGCACCGCGACCTATGGTCTATTGTGCCCTCCCCTAAGTTCTAGACTTTAAGGATAATATATAATAATAATTACTTGTAAAAATTTTATTTTAAAAATATAAAGAAAGCTAAAATATAAAATGGATTTAATACTTATTATTCATTAACCTACTTTAGCCATGGCCTGTGCAATACTCCATATTTATCGAATATGTGATTGCGATAGATTATCCTTAAAGAGTCTCACCAGATGGGACAGCACATAATCTCTAAATGCCGAATAGTCCAAAGGCCGTCGTGTTGTACCTGATCTGACTAAATGGTGTGTACTCAGCAAAGTCATTGCTGTATCTTCCTAGTTGTTTATAAAAGTTCCATTAATTTCATCTTTATTACGTTCAAAAGTACTCGGTTTTTAGCATTTTTTGTATTCGGTATACATATATATATATATATATATATAGTTACATGTTATACCTCCAAGACAAAAAATTGTCTGTGTATTAAGAGTAAACTTAACTACCAAGTATTTTTGGCTCTCTTGAATACGGACAAAATTTTAGTCGCAGAAACTAGCAGGTCTCTCAGAATTCTTGTGCTCTCAAGCTAGTTTTCTCTTTTCTGCTAGTTTTTTAGGTTACGAAACGCTGTTCCAGCAGATAGTGATAACTATCACCGTTTCCGTTCGGAAACAAACCTATTCCAGCCAATAAAAATTCGAATAGATTGTAAATAACACAAAATCATCAAAATATAAACAAGAAGAAGAAATGAATGCATAATATTTCAAGAATGTCTCAAGTCGATTGGACGAAGTTGTGATTATTATTGCGGGAGGAGGGTAATCGTTGGGTTATTATTATCAAAAAAATTTCGTGACTATACATTAAGATATAAACTACCTATCTTTTATGTAGAATTTTATTAAAATGGGTTTAGTAGTTTGTGAGTTTATTGCGAACAAACAACGTGAAATTTAATTTTGATACACAGAGATAAATTTAATTAATCTGTATATACATACATACATATGTATGAGAGCTGGGGTAATTTGTGAAAGCATTTCAATATTTTCTAAGATATTTTACATATTAACCGATATACATATCCAGCATATTAGAGGTATATGGGGATTACGAGTAGTATTGGCCCGATTTTATCATAACCGACATATTATTACTAGAAAACGATGCTCTTTGAGTTTCATTAAGATCACTATTGTCTGTTATATACGGTATAAAGCCAACCGAAAGTTTGAAAATCCTTATATTGGGTATATGAGAGCTATGAGTGTTATTGACCCGAATATATCCTCTTTTGGTATCAGGACATATTATTACCAGGAAAAAAAGACATTATCTAAGTTTCATTGTTATATCTCTCGATATATTCCTTATCAAGGGGGATTGATCAATTATGATCCGATATCGAATAACTTCATTTGTGCTTGATTTGCATTGTGTAAAGTTGAATAATCAGGTTGAATTTAAAATTGTGTTATATGCAGGACTTCGATTTAAAAAAATAAAATGTGGGTGATGTCCAATTATGTTTTTTAAACCAAGATTTTTGGGATTAAAAATTTAAAATATTACAACTTTTCTTTTTGATTCTTAATTATATGCTTAAGATTGAATTTTTTTTTTTTTGTCAATCTGGTAGTGAGATTAAACATTTATTTTTTTTTTAACCCGGTACGCGGGATTAATTTTTTGATTGATTTGAAAAAAAAAATTTTAATCTTAAGCAAATAATGAAAAATTAAAAAAAGAATTTGCTTTAGAATTAACATTTTTTCGGGTTCATTTAAATCAAAAAAATTCGCAACCCTGCTCCGAACCCTGCACGTCACGAGGTTTCATCATCGGCATGCTTGGTTGATATAGCTTTAGAGGCTTGTGAGATATGTACATAAAACCTATTAAGGGCGAGGCCACGCCTTCTTTAACCAAGAATTCAACTCATCATCCTGATATATTATATATACATAACCCTATATCTATCTTATTTAGTTTTAGGGTTTGCGTGAAGAAACTCTTTGTAGCATGTTGCGGGAGTATAAAAATTTAATTTAATTTTCTTTTGATAGCATGGTTTGTCTGAATACATATCGGGCCAGATGATGTCGAAATTAAAATAGTAACCGTATTTATTTATTTGACGTGTGCCAGACAGTTTGACTTACTGAAACCAAACACATAGTAAAAATGTATATGCATATCGCGCCGTTTTTCAAAACGGTAAGAAATTAAAAAAAAAAATATTTGCAGAATTATCATTGAGCCCACATCATCAAATTGAACTTATAGATATTTTAATGCATTTTAATTAATTTTTTTATTATAATATTAAATAATATTTTATATTATATTATTTAAAATATAAACATTAAGCGTGCAGAATATTAAATACACAGATTTTACTAATAAAAAGAATATACAAACATAATATTCGTCTAAATACTAATCTATGAGGAAACGTACAGCCTTTTGCATTTTAGCTGCCGGTACTTCACCATCGTCCATGATTTGACTTCGATCAAGGTAAGAACGCATTCCATGCATAATTTTCTCAATTTCCATTAATGAGTCCCTAAAACGTTGCTGTCCCTCACTAGAAATGTCGTTAGGTACATTTTCTTGCTCATTATTAAAGCGATTACATAGCATTCTTAACCGTGATGCGGAACGCTCCATATCACGTAAATGTATCAATGCCAATGCGTTAAAATCACTTCTTAAATTATTAGAGTTCGAAGTGGAATTATTTGTGGTCAAGTTTTGCGATATATTTGGTGTGTTTTTTGTCGATGAGTCAATACAATCGTCGTACTTTAACACTTTCTTTGTTATGAATCTTCCCGGCAATGATGACTGCACGAAACATTCATCATTTATTAAGGACGACGCTTTAATGGGCGATGGTGAATGTGAAGATGTGTTGAATAAGTGCAATTTATTAATTGGCTTTTTCAATAAAGCTTCCTTGACAATGTTTAAGTTTAGTGAAATTCGACTCGAGTTTAATGAATCGTTTAGTGTTGCGCAATCGTCACCTTCCAGTGGCTCCCAGTTCATATCTACACAATTGAACACATTATCGGCACTTAAATCGTCATTGTTACGCACCATATCGAGCCACACACTGAGCCTCGCGATAGGCCATTCGGCTTTACGTTGATGAAATTTATCATGTAGCAGCACGACGGTATGAAATATGCCGAATTCGTCAAGAACCTGTGAGTGTCGAAACTCTACCTGCATACCTAAACTACGGCACCGTTGCGTAGCTTCCTTTACCTAAAAATATAATCCATATACAGTTCGTTATCAAAAAGTCAAAATCCATGAATATTTTATGGAGCTTTATAAATATAACTGATATTATCTGTTACCGAACGCTCTTAATGATCCTTTTTTCATAATTTGTGCATTTTGAGAAATACTGTTACATAGTTATATGCAGTAGCGGACAAAGAATCCATATATAAATGAATGTTTGTCAGTATTTCCTTTTGTAGAATCGTAAACTATGCATTTGATCATGTGATGATCTTTAGAAAAGTTGTTGTGCATGAGTCAAAGAAAGTTTCATAAAAAAAACCTTGATTCCATTTTTGAAAATTTATAGTTTAGTGGATTCTATGCCGACACGTATTAACGTATCATAAAAATCAAAACAAACCCAACAAAATATTGAAAGCTAATTTTAATATAACGTTATTCGTTTCTTTTTCAGTTTATTTTCATACATTTGAAAAAAAGTATGTTTAGAATCCTTTTTTATATGCTCTTTTGTGTGTTCAAAAAGAAGAAGAATTGTTTTGATTAACTACTATAATCTAACTGTCTGGATTGCTTTGTCCGCTACTGGATATACATATATATATATGTACACAGGTACTACAATTAGTTGGTTTCGTCCGATTTTCAAATTTTTTTTAAAACAATATTGATACAGACATTTGTTCGTATTGTAAATTATTTAAAATTGTGGTTTGTTTTAATTTTTGATGATAAATGTTGTGAACAAAATTTGATTGCGTTAAAAAATTCAAGCATAAATATAAAAGTGTAAAACAAATCATATAACAATTTAAATTGCATTACCAAATATAATACATACCATTAGCTGTGTTTTATGTAGACTCTTATCACTGGGGTTTTGCATAATATTATTGATGTCATCAAGAAAGTTTGATTTGAAAGTTGGCGTATAAGGTGTAATTACAGGAGTTTTGTCGGTATTATTTTGTGCTTCTTCTTGAAATGCTTTTCGTTCCGTTTCTAGTATTTCTCTATTGCATTTATATTTTAGTTGTTCCAATTCCAGCTTTTGCATGCGTTCATTAAAATTACGTTCATTCTCTGCACGTTCAAATTCTATGCGTGACAGTGCTGCGCGTTTTTCCTCTTCCAATTCGTTTCGAAGCTTCTCTTCCTGTTTGTGTAAAATTTCTTCATGAGCCATTTGAAAATCGACCACCTGTTCAATTCAAATAATAGAAGCTAATGAATTACCATATATATTTTTAAGGTACTCCTTTAAGTAAATTTAACAATGATACTTATTTTCCTTTATGTTTTTCCACCGGATATTGTATATGCTAAAGAAATTAAAATTTGTATGTAGATACAGTAGCTCACTAATAATTTTAAATAACATTATTTGCACTTAACTTGTGTATTTATAGATTAACTTATTGAGACAATAAAAAATATACTCACGAAAACATATTTCATAGTTTCTTATTTATCAATGTTATTTTATTATTAGTTGCATTTCAAAGTATGTCCTTGTTAATTTGATGCTGCGGTTATCAAATCTCCCAAATTTTCTTAAAAACAAGAAAAAACGTTAACTTCGATTACACCGAAGCTAGTCAGTTATATGCTATAGTGGTCCAATTTGAACAATTTATTAATTGTACCACTGATCCAAGAACTGGATTTTGATCGTTTAGTTTATATGGCAGATATGGCGATAACGCAAGGCTAGTGGCGATAACGCAAGAGAGACGGCGAACTTAAAGACTAGTTCGTGTATATATAGACACACGCATAGACGCACATGGCTAGTCACGCTGATATAAATATATATATATATATTATAGGGACTGCGCTGTTTCCTTCTTCAAACCTTCGTGGCGAACCGAACATAACCGAAAGTTATGAGCACTAAAAATTAGCAACTGAGTGAACACAAAATTTCAGATGGAAGGTACTGATAAGGCTGGGATCCGAACCAGGTGCTAAAAAAGTGATTACATCCAACTACATCTACAAAATCCAATGTATTGAGTTTTGGACAACCGTGTTCAGAGAGAACAGCAACAGTTAAATAAGAAGACAGTGCTGTTGGGGGTCGCAAATCTAGTGTTGGCACAATGGACCAGCGTATTTTTTTCTATTCTTTAAGGAAATATGCCTTACAGTGCAGATAAAATGAGTAGGGAGAGTACCAAACCCTTATCAAAGTGTAGACATAAGCTCAATACATTTTATGTTTATTTAAAAAAAATTCAAACATTTAGTAAAATACTTCTTATTTGATTATACCATACATTAAAACATTTCTAAATGAATTACTATTATAAAGAAAATATAATGTCAAATTTCATTCATTACACGTGCATGTACATATGTATTGTATGTATGGTAATACAATATTTCAACAAAACTCTACTGCTTAACTCTCTACATCTACATAAGATATATATTATATTATTACAACAAATTCGGAAATTGAATGGGTATTTGAAATAATAGTACCGAGTTCTTTAGCCACTATTTTTATTCACTACTTCAAATGCACTAAAAATTGTCAAAATCGGACTACAACTGTTCAAGCCCCAGATACCGAATACGGGGACCCTAGTTTCTAATAAGAAATTTGTATCGAAAATGTGTCAATCTTTGAGGATACCTTTACCCCCCATATACCTTATATAAAGATTTTCGAACTTCCGGTTGACTTTATACCGCTTATATCGGCCAATATGTAAGTTATCGTAATGAAATTAAGAAATTAATGCCAAAAATAGATAAAATCGGTTCAATACTACAACTATCTTTCATATAACTAATAGATTTTCAAAACTCTAGTTTGCTTTATACCGTATATACCGGTCAATATGTTAGATATCTTAACAAAATTAACTGAGCTTATAGTATGGGATAATATATAGTTTAATGCCGAAAATATGTAAAATTGGTCTACGAATTACTTTGACTCCTATATAAGACATATACATTTTCGTTATGCCGAATATGTCGGGCAGTGTTTGGGTTATATTTTATAAAACTTTTTGGCGTTTTTATAAAAAATTAAAAAATGATGCCTTATTTTCTTAGGATGTTAAAAACGGCAATTCAATTGGTTTAATACCACTTAAGTAAAGATTACCGTATTTTTGTTTGTGTTTGGTTACTAAATATTTGGTTGTCCACCAGTTGGTTGGTGCCCAAATTCTTTTACTAATGTACAAAAACTGCATTTTCGTTGAGGATATTTATCCAGAATTGTATATAATTCGATCTGTAAAATAGTCTATATTTTCGACACATGTATGAATTATTTGAAAACGTTCATGTATCAATAATTTTGATTTCAGATTGGTTTTTAATTTAAACAAAACTGGTCACATTTGACTGAATAAATGTCCTCTACGAGTATATTGTTTTCCAAAGAAATGCTATTTTTTCTACCATTTCAACTATTATAATTTATAGTGCTAAAACGAAATATCTGCAGAAAAAAATTGTTGAAAATCAGAATATTTGTTAATTAAAAATCGAAGTTGTATATGCCGGTATTTTTTTCTTATTTTATGTCCATTGCTATTATTTATTTTAACTTTTATCGTCTACCGATAAGGGAAAGTTCAGCGAGAATGTATCAATTGAGAATTGTTAAATGAAATTTTTTAAATATAAAAGGGATAATCAAGCAAGTAAATACTTGGCCAAGCAAGAAAATTGCTTACGAGTTAAGTGTCTTCCAATACGCAATACTACAAAATTCGTATGTATATGTCTGTAGGTGTTTGTATATGTTTTTTTTTTATCAGAAGGTCATTACCATGTTGATAAAGCGCACTTATAATTGTTTACTATAATTCTTCCATTTTTTTCTTTTTTAAGTGTTGGTCGAAGGACATATCACTTGTCTCAACATTACATATGTATATATAAATGTAAATATTTTTATATTAAGATAATTAATTATGTGTAAAAATAATAATTTTTAAAATAAGAAGAAGAGTCAAACACCTAGCATGAGTGTAAGCAAAAAACTGTTATTATTAAAAACTTTCGGAATCAATTTAGATTTTACAGTTACAGTTAGGTCAATGTTGTTGTTCTTTTAACAGTGTTGGTGTCAAGGGCGTATACCTTATAAATTATTACCAATTATCATTTCTTTTTATGATGTTTGTATTAATAATACTCTCCAAATTGAGGATTCTATGAGTTTATTGTTGACTGATATTAGAAAAACATTCGACGATTTTACATAGTATCTCAGGAAACACCGCTGTGGATTCAGGGTTACCCCGCAAGTACCATAAATCTTAATATTTTCAGATATCATGATGTTGTCTTTAGCGTACATTACTACAGTTATCGTTCTCTCTCGTGCGGCATATAGCAAATATTTATTTTATTAAACCTTTCTAAGATTTCCTATGTATTTTATCCACTTTATTTAAACATATCTTTCTATAATAATTTACTGAAACTCACCAAATTTTTATTTCTCTTCGTACAAAACGGATTCGATATTCGAAAATAATGTGTGCCTCCGATCACTAAACGGTCGCCATGGAACATTTTTTTGCGCTCGGTCACAAGATCACCATTCAGATACGTTTCAAAATCGTCATTTTGTGGGATTATAAACAATTCACCACGTATATTTTCAATTATACTGAAATAAATTAATCTAGAATAAGATAGTGTTCACAATAATAATAAGAGCATATTATTAACCTACCAATGGTGATAGGCAACTAAAGGGCCGTCAAGCAATATGTCCGGCTGACTGCAATAGGACGAGGTGCGCGTACGACCGATCTTTACCTGTCCTTCTGGTAATATGTAAAATAGTGTATTACTAAAAATTGCATCAGCTGTCAAATTTACAAGACATGCATGCTTTTGATCTGTCGACAATTCTAACGCCAGCCCCTTACGGCGTAACAGTCTTAATTCAGACTTTCGCTGATCTTCAGCTTCTTTTAAGCGTTGCATCCAAGATTTTTGTGCTTTATCCAGTTCCCTTTCGCGCTCAGCAAGTTGCTGTCGTAATCCCTCGACCTCACTCTCATCAACTGATGTTTCAATAATAATTTTTCTAGGCGTTGGATTACTATTGGCGGACAAGCGGCGTTGACGTTCATATTCATTTCTCAGCGACTTAAGACGATCGACTTCAGCACGTAGCTCCCGTATTATTTTATCGTGTGGTGATTCGTTCACTTTGACCCGATTCACTATTGTACGAGCTTGACAGGCATAACGCAAGGTGGCTAGAGTCTCATCGATATTTATATTCGCTGGTGAAATTGTGGCAAGCATAACAGTTTTCGAGTTGCCTCCGAGGTTTTCCTAAAATAAAAAGAAAATGTATATGTTATCTAAGTTGAAAACCGAGTGACTGTCTGTTTGTATGTCCGTCCGCCCGTCTGTGCATCTGTACAAGCGATAAATTGAGTAAAAATTAAGATATCTGGTTTACGTATTCCTTGGCAAAAGCGTAAATGAGCGTAATCGGACCACTGACATGACCACAAAAAGCCATTAACCGAAAACATATAAAAGATCATAACTAAGCACTACATTTAGATATAAACCTGTAATTTGGTACAGGGGATTGCAGTAGCAAAGGGCAGAAGATTTTGAAAACATGAGCGTTGCCCCGCCATCTAATAGGTTTAAGGTACATATTTCCCAAGCCACTAAAACTACAATAACCAAATCTGCTTAGGACAAATCGTATAAAAGTTCTTCTGATAATGTAAAAATGTGCCAGAGACAATCAATTTTACACCCAGGATGATACAAGAGGGCTTTATAGAAGCCGGGGTCGAATTTGGACAATGGGAGTGGCACTGCAAACATTTAGGTGAAATCACATATACCTACTTGATCTATTTCTACTAAATTCGGCACATGACATTATCCTGACGATCCTATGTCATGATGGAAATGGGCGCGATCGGACAACAAGCCCCCATATACCTACTATAAAAATGTTCGAACTTCTTTGTGCCTAAAATGGACAAATTCAGGTGAAAACTGGCCTTAGCCACCATATAACTGATATTCAGGATTTTGAAACATCCAGCTGACTTTTCTTCATCTATGTATATGTTTATATTTATTTCTAAAATTGCTTGAAAATATGTTTTCATGTACACCTGAACAATGTCAAAAATGAATACAATCAGTACTGCCATTTTTCTGCCTCCAATATACCCTATATAATGAGTTCCGACATTCCACCTGACTTTAAACCGTTTACGATTTCTTAAAAATTATAAAATTATAGCAATTGTTTGGCGCAATATAAATGAAATTGGTTTTGGTTTAAACTTCATGTTCTTAATATAATGAATTTTGATTCTTTGGTTGACGTTTTTCACAATTAAATTTAGCTTCTTCGGTTGAGTGTATGGTATATCACTTATATCTCATTTGAGAAATATAGTAATAAAACTAAAGTTTTGCTAACACCTGAGGATATTTATCCAACTTTGATCAGTGCAAGTTGCAAGAGTATAAAATATTCGGTTAAACCTGAACTTAGTCTTCCTTCCTTTTTATATTATAAAAAGTTACATCATCGAAAAACCAGGCGTATCAAACTACAAATTAAATGAATCGAATAGCACTCTCTTCCTATAGTGAGTCTTGTTTTCCTAATTAACTGAATTATGCAGCTGCCTGAATATCCGACTTGTTTGTTATGAGTTATATCAAAGGAATGATACAATGATGATTATTTCAGCTAATCAAATGAAAAAGTTCGTTGACATTAAATTTTCTCGTTAATTAAGGGCAAAATTATGAGTCAGAAATGGTTTAAAACGGTATTTAAATCTGTATTTAGGGTTTTTATTTAGGTATTTTATTCTTCGTAGTAGAGATAAAGCATTTCAGTTTCAATTATTATTATATTATCAAGTTTCATTATTACTCTTCTACTTAAATAAATAAAATCAGTTATAATAAAGAATGATAGATTTAAGAATTTGGAATTTGGCAATTTCATCATCCACAAGCCATTGTTGAGATCCCAATACATCCTCAGAAAGTCACTGTTTGGTGTGCTAACACCAGAGATAATCATTGGTCCATATTTCTTCTAAAATGATTAATGGCTTTTTCGTGCCTGAATTGGAGGATGTTAATGTGGACGACCTTTGGTTCAAACAAGACTTGATGTCGTACAGCCAACGAAACAATAAATTTAATGAATCAAACTTTTGGTGAGCGCATTTTGTCACGTCGTGGACCTGTGGCGTGGCCTCCAAGATCGTGCGGTTTAACACCGCTGGACAATTTTTTGTGGGGTTATATGAAGCCGCTTGTCTATGTATAAGCCCGAGACGATTGGTATATATACAAATACTTTCCTTCCTAAGAAGTTGCTAATTTGTCGAAATCGCCGACTTCGGACCACTACATATGGCATATACCTGCCATACAAACTGTCCCATCAAAATCTAGATTACGATATTTTTATACGCTTTTATGATATAAAAAATTCATCCGTAAAGAGTATTATAGCTTCAATGCAGCCGAGGTTAACGGTAATGTTTTCTTGTTTGGAGTACGTTTGACAAATACAAAGGTTTTTGACGTAATGAACTAAAGTAAGGAAAGGCATAGTTTACTATGAAATTTTGAAAATTCACTTCCCATATGATGTTTTATATTACAATCTTGTTTCGATCGTTTTTGCTTGTAACTAAATATTTAGATGTCACAGAAGGAACGTAATAACTTTACATTGGTGAATATTCATGGTGTTGCACTACCAACCGCTCTTTGTTCGCAAGTGCAAATTTAAATATAAACCTTATCTAGACTGTTCTGAAACCTGTGGTCAATATTGTGAAACGAATTTCTTTTATCATAAGAAAATAACAATGATGTTATATGTAAAATTATATTTTTAGCATGAATGAACGGCCTCTGTTGTAATAATTTGCGAAAGCGAACTTTTTACACAATGCGTCAAGGAGGTCATACCCTAAATGTGGGTAGTATTAAGGAATATTTGTTTATGGTGGATAGAGGCCCCCCGTAATAAACTCAGAGCGCACTTTCATCTGAATACATATGTATGCATTGTGCATACATTAGTGCGAAAGTAATCGGTTGCGAAGATTATAATTTTTCCAGTACTTCGTTGTTTGGTTAGTCCCTCATTCTATAAGCAACAACATATGTATAGCTTTACACGTGTACGTATATATACATATATGTACATAATTTTACCTTCACAGCGCGCTACCCCGTTTTACTCACGTACACCACTTCGCTCACTCTTTTTCGTCTTAAAACTCGTAGTATACACCAACATACATATGATGGGGCGACGACGACGATGAGAGAGATTGCATTTAAATCGTCGTGCTGTTCATTTGCGGCGGTGGAGGTGCTCGTATTGGATGCATTGGAAAAAACAACACGAGACTAACCAACGCAAAATAAACGCAACGCAAATATACTTGTAAATAAACTAATAAAAAAAATCAGTCAGCAGAGTCACATACACATAAATGCACATACATGCATATATACATGTCATGAGTAGTCACATCAACAACTGCGAATCTATAAAAATACTCGTATATGGAAAGCGAAAAGCTATGTAGCAGCGAACGGTGAGCCATATAGCGGACGGGACAACAAATTCAGTTCAGTCTCTTGTGAGAATTCAACAGACAATAAAGTGTATTTTTACGATTTTTAGTATTTTCGCACACAACTATTTTATACGATTCGCATTTAACGAATGATGTATTAAGAGCACAATTTTTCAGTTCATTTAAACAAAAAAAAAGTTTAAGAAAAGTAAAAACAGTGTAAATGCACGCATTGATATAAAAAGGCTTACATATTTACGCCTACGAACATACATATAAAAATATAGAGAAGGTATACATATATATATATATATACATATATTTTTTACAAAAGTCAACAAACGCCCTCGATAAGCATATTGGTTAACAAGAAAAAAGTGTCAAGTGTACAAATAATTGTAGTTTAACGCCAATTTATGTCTGAATCCACGGAAGTGACCGCAAATTTAAAAAGATTTCCATACGAAAGGAAGTACGAATCCAACTTTGGTTAGCTTTTCTACTTGGAAAAAGTAATACGCACACTTTCTACGTTCAGAGCAGAAATTGTTTGGTTGAACCCAAATCTAAACAAAAACAACGACGAAAAGCACAACGAATACACGTACAAGTGTCCGCAAAACTATTGGAGCCAACAACACAACTCGTTGAAATCAACATCCAGTCTAAAAGCCGAGTGCACGAAGCGTACATTATAGTAAAACATTAACATGGATGTGTGGGGTGTTTTTGTTGGCGATTCGACCATGTCGTACGGTGGGTCAGTACGCAGCACCTACTACCGCGACTATGAGCAGTTTCCCTATGGTACGTTGGAACATGGCTCGAGTCCGCCATCTAAGGATTCCTACAGCAAGGTTCAAGGTAGGCAAAACACCTACAGACATACATATATTTGCTTTTACGTACATAAAGAGTAAATCGATTTACTACGTTTTTGTTTAAATGTTTCAACGATTTTCAACTCACTACAAATGACTAATACAATTATAATAATAGTGGAAAGGGTCAGAGTTGAACATAATAACTTTTATTTATAAGTATGTATAGGTAGAAAAAGTGGAAAAATATGTAAAACAACAACAAAAGGTCATCAGTCTATCTTATATAAATACATATAGAGGCGTACATAAGTATTGTATCAGAACACACCCAACTAATTATCATACTTCATTGCATTGGCAGCATTTACTTAAATAAGTATGTGTGTGCATATATATGACTTATGCATACATACATATGTTAGCCTACTCGTTTGAGAGCACGTTTTGGTAATCCATTTAACACATATAAAAAGAGGCCTACATACACATGTGCAAAGTTATCAAATGTCGTAACCCATATAGTAAGTGTTTTGATAAAATTTGTGTTGTGTAAACTAAAATTAAAAATATTCTTAGATTAAAAGATACATTTTATTTTGATAGCATGCTAATCTTAGCTAACTGCTCGCATTTTTTAACAACGCAATAACGTTAGTAGATATTCCAACCTGTTCGTGGTATATATGTATGTAATGTATGTAAATGTCTACAGGTGTGTGAATGCGTTGGTTTTAGTGTGTGTAAATTTCTCATCTAGAAATGTAAACAACATTCAGTACAAGTGGATTTAGCAGTTGTCAGTAAAACCGTAGAGAAATATTGCTAGCATTGGGGTGTGAAACTAAAATATTTACAAAAATATTTATATTTAAAATATGGTACATATACATATACATATTAGTATATTTGTACATACATACTTAAATGAATATTCTGTATGGAACCGTTGTGCGCCTGCGTGACAGTGTGCAAGGAATCTTCCAAGCGCCAAAATTGTAATGCTGTAAGAGGTCAATTTGTTTTGATGTTTGTTCACCACTAAACCATAGTATTCGAAACATTATTCAAACTCATATTCAACACTGAACATACATGGTTTTATGATGCGTGTCGCTTAGAGATCAAGCAATTTAAAGCAATAAAACAAGCCAATTGACCTTGTTAGATTACCCTTATGGATGCATGAAAATACGTACATGTGTATGTACATACAGACATATACAAATATGGATTCTTATACATACTTGCTTATGATAGATATATAAGTATGTATGTATGTACGTATGTTCAAACAGGAAGTACGCAGTCATTCAATTCTAACTCTTTTATGTTCTAATTGAATAAAGGTACATATGGCAATGGCTTGCTTTGAAAATTAAAAAAAAAACACAAATTATATACGCTTTTTTAAATAGCGTGCTTTATTTATTCTTTATTTATATTTGACCTTCAAATTAAGTAAAATATAAATTAGGTAATAAAAATTGCTTAAAGAAACATATCAGACTTGGTTACGATGGTTCTAAAGTATAGAAAGGTTTTCATTGAGATTTTTATGTCTAGTAAATAATATTGGAAATCTAAAAAGCTTGAAACTAAAATTAGTAATATTATTTAAACGCACTGGGGTCTACATTCGGTAAGTAGGGACTTGAACAGTTTTGATTCGATTTGGCACACGACAAAGGCACTATTCGTGTCTATCCAGGTATATTAACTGGTGCTTTATTTGTATTCTGGAATGTGAAAGGATCAGATGGAATTTAAAATTGTGTTATATGGGATTTCCTCCGTTTTCGCATTGTAACATAGATTCCCAGTTCCTATTGAGAACTTTTTATTGAGTCAATCTGTAAGATACAATAAATCGGTTACACCCGAACTAAGCCCTTCTTCACTAATTAAATGTTAATTTGAGAAGACTGTAAATTTTTTTTTTATATTGTTCAATTAGCGTGCTATATGCTATTTCATATACCTAATTACAGGAAAACTTGTTTTCTGAATAAAAATATGTTTGAAGTAAGTTTACTTGTATGTATTTTAAAACTTCGAGAGCTGACGGAAGCTTTGGAGGATCTTATCTTTTGCTTCTGAAATATCTTCACCAATAAACATATGTTTTCAATTGTTTTGCAGAGATGCCTGCTGCTTATCAAAAATGCTGCGAAACATATGTAATTTATTGTGTATGAAATTGTAATTGTATTGTAATTTTTGGCATGAAATTGAATGCTTTAATTATTACTTTACTTTTCGTATCCAGCCTTATTCAAATGGTTCCAAACGGTTTTTGTGCAATGTTTAGGTCATGGGCAATCGTCATCGATGTTTGGACTCGGCGATTTTCATTATTTGATCGATTTTTTCGATAATTGGTCTTCCAGATCGCATCTTTTACATCGAAATTACCAAAACGGAATCGACGAAAGCAAAATTGCGCATGATTTACTGTTAAAGTATCAGGACCATAAACGCTATTCACATTTTCAGCCGCCTGGCTTGCGTTTTCGCCCTTATCGAAGAAAAATTGTAAAATATATCTATTTTCTCTTTGCTAGTGTTCATCTTTGACGCGCGCTCAAACAAAACTGAATCAACCAATCACAAAACTGTCAGAAAAGCCTTTTTAGTACGAAATGTCATCTTTCTAACGCCATATAGCCGAAGACTTATGCAACGCGAGATACAGATAAATAACGCCTAAATAAATACACCTAATATGTAAGGCAATGCTAGATTTTTTTTAACGAAAGTTTTTTGTGCAATTAATCAGGAAAAATTAAAGGTACATTTTTTTAATAACACAAATTTTTAACTAATTATGCGGGAAAATCAATTAAGTGGGAACATTTATACGTATTTTGTATGCAATATATTTTTGACCGATCAATTAAGCGGGGAATACTGTATCTGCAAATTTTTTACAAAAAAACAAACCAAACGCTTTTATAAAACAACTTGCAATATTCGATGTTAAATGAAATTGTGGTACGATTACAATCAATCAGAAAAATATAACGATACATTTATCTCGATTAGTTGTAGGGGTTACAATTGTGGGTACAAAACAACACCGAGTTATATCTGTTAATGGATACCTATACTATACATACGACTAATTTTACACACTTTTACTTTCTTGTTGAGAATTTGAATTTTCTGATGTTTACTATTGCCAGCCTTAGAAATTAATGCTTGTATGTTAAAATGCGAGTAAAATTCACACAAAAGTTTCTATTCTACATCGAATGAATGCCGATCATCACTATCGATCAATGTCGGAACCTGTATATATGTATGCATATAATTAAGTACATAATTGCAATTTTATTTTCAATATATTTTTTTACTGTTCTAATTGAGAGCTTTGCATGTAAAATATTTTTTTTCATGCACAAAATTTATTTAATATGTTTTTTTTTTGTGACAGAAAATGCAATTTTTGCAATATCTCTTTTCAATAATTTTTTTTGACAGATTTGCACTTTTTGTAACTTTCCTCTAAGAATCCTAAAGGCCCGTTCACATACAACTGGCTTTACGTGACAGTTCATACTGTAACAACGAAGCGAAGAAAACAAAGGGTATGCCACAAAGAACACTTTACTTTCAGTGTTTCTCTCTATTAAAAATGGCAACTTTTGCATGGCAAAGCGTAAAAATATGAGAGTTGCCAAACATTTTGCTTGGCTTCGCGTCGAAAACTTTTTATCTGAACGTACTCATACAAAAGCATAGATCGAACTTTAAAACAAATGTCTGACGCGAAGCGAAGCAAAAATTCTATGTGAATTAGCCTTAATAGTTAAATGCCTCTATTTTTGAAAGTTTGTTTGGAATGCATAAGATACTGAAGACATTTTCTCCAAGTAGTGTATACTATAATTGTTTGTGTCGTTTACGAAATTGCTTAGTTTTACAAAATAATTATTAATACTGTTGCAGTACGCAAGCAATTTTTACTCATTTTTCCATGTGTCTTTCATAGTTGAGCTGGGATTTAGTAGAACTAATTAAACAAGTATTAAATTCTGAGAAATTAATACAACTTTCAGTAATACATAAACCAAGCATGAAACTACGTATGCATACATATATCAATAAAATTATTATGAAAAAATCATTTCAATAAATTAATTCCACAGCAAATGTCAATTCTTTCATTGACTAAATATTACATCTGCACCAGTTATATTTATAAACATACATACGAGTATGTATGTATATACAATCAGACATTGGTTTCTCCGCATACTAATGAGTGCATATGTACATATATGCATTTACAATTAATTTCATTTGATTATAGAGGAGATCAAGCGTTTCGACATTGGTAAACTACAAAATGAGTTCAATTGAAATACAGTTTTCCACATAAATAAGTTTAGTAAAACATGGATAATTCCTAATTTGGTGGGTTGATGATTTGAAAAGTTTATAAACTCTCTTTTCAGAATTATGAATACTCACTTTGGCAATAGACGTATTTTATTTTTAAAGTACAAGTAAGATTGACCGCAAACTCTGAATAAATGGTGAAAAACCGAGGCGACACAATTGGATTACATTTAGAGGGAAATACTTATCACTATAAGAATATTTACATATATGCATTATATATTTTTTTAATTATGTTGTTTAACATATAAGCATTGTAAAACCTACAGAAAATTGAACGTTCTACAAAAAAAACTAAAAAACAATTTACAAATTAAAAAAAATAAATAAATAAAAACGTTAACTTAGACTATACCGAAGCCATAATAACCTTCACAGGAGCATTTTTTATAGCATTAAAATAGCATAAAAGTGTAGAAAAATAACTTCATCTTGATTTTGATGGATCCGTTTCAATGACAGCTATATGCTATAGTGTTCCGATCTGAAAAATTTCGAGAAGATACCTTGTGAAATAAAAAAAATTTGCACACAAGACTTGAGTTTGATCGTTCAGTTTGTATGTCAGCTATATGCTATGTGGTTTTTGTTGTTGTTGTATCGGCAAAAACATTCCTGAAATAAATTTGAAGAATGCTG